GGAGGGGGCGGGGCGCCAGCTTGGGTGCGGGGGCGGTCTTTGGAGCACGTGGCCTAGCCGATATGGCCCGGCCCCCACCTCGAGAGGCCTGTCTCGGAGGCCTGGGGCTCGAGGTCCTCTGCGGGGTGAGGAGCTGCTGCCCCTTGGATTCCTGTGTGGGGCCTGCGCCTGCTGCGTCTTACGTTACCTGTCGCACCGTTGACTGGGAATTTTGCAATTGAAACAAGTCACGTGTGCAGAGCTATTAGCGCACGAGTCACGGGTGAATTGTACCATCAGTCGCAGGTAAAGTTATTGAACTAGTCATGGGTGAATCGCACCATCAGTCACATGTGCAAAGCCATTATGACACTAGTGAGTGAATATCACCATCAGCCATGCGTGCAAAGTCGCTATTACACTAGTGGTGGGTGAATCGCACCATCAGCCATGTGTTCAGAGTTATCACAATAGTCATGCGTGAATCAGGTCATCAGCCACACGCAAGGCCGATATCACGCTGTTCACAGGTGAATCGTGCAATAAGTTCAGCGTGGCCATATGGACAAAATCATTATTGCACCGTAAAAAGGATGCTCGAACTTGAAATAAAAGCCTTTCTTCCTCATTTGTGTCCTTGTGACGGATTTAGCAGAATTCATGGATTTGTTATTATCTGACAGCGCAGAACTGTGATCACGCCTGCTCTGGACCTGAACTTGCCAACCGTTAGGCTGCCAATGTGTTCTTTAGTGCCCCAGCTACACCAGCCCCCTAAAAAGAACCAGCTATAAAGTTAGTGCTTAAAAACTTGTAACCACTCTAGAGCTGGTGTTGTTTCCTGTTTTCATATGAACTTGTAGCGGGGCCCCTGGAGGCTCTGGTCAGGGTGGATCCTGTGCACATGCGGGGCCATCTTCCTACCGCTCTTCCACTCACGTCTCTGGGAAGAGTTTCTCTGGTCGGCGTCCACAGGCTCCCTTGATTTGTTCAAGGGGCACTGGCCAGCATGGTCTGCTCAATGCTCTCTTCTAGATCCCTTGTTATTAACCTGTGACCTTGCTCCCTTCCCAGTTTTCTTTTCTATTTGTTCCAAAAAATTAGTTGATGTCCCCAGAGCCTCTCTTATTAAGGGAGGTTTATAGTTTCTTGGTGGGCACTGGGCCACAATTTCCCTTTGGCATGTCAAATAGGCTGCTCTGGGTTTATTTAAGGGGGAAAGGCACACTTGGAAAAAAAATAAAACCAGGCACATGGGCAATTAGTGGTATTGAACCACAAATTTTTTCAGGGTTGAGTTTCACAAGCAGCATTGGCGAGCACAGGATTGGCCTCTGAGGGCCCTGCAAGACGTTCTCATGAAAACGGGCTAAAAACCAGTTATAGAGTTGTTACACATTTTCAAATACAGGCAGTCCTTGGACTTTACGGCACAATTGGTTCTTGAAAGTGGCGTCTTAAGTCTAAACGTTGTAGCTCAGAACCAATTTCCCCATAGGAAACAATGTCATAAATAGGGGATTGGTTCCTGAACCAAGGCCCGATACCCTATTTTCACCAAAAATAACCCAGAATTTTGTACTCAATCAATTATAGATGAGTAATCTAGCTACATTAATGTATTTATATTGTAAATAGCAATCATATGGATTTGGAAGGACTTCTTTGAGGTGACTTTGCTGAACTACCCCTTTTTGAAGGGCTCCTGGTTGGACTTTTTGAAGGGCTCTTGGGTGGAGTCTTCTCAGGAGTCTCGGCTGCAGGTTTTTCATAGTTTCATAGTTTCTAGGGTCGGAAGGGACCTGAGCAGATCATCTAGTCCGACCCCCTGCCATGGCAGGAAGAGCACTGGGGTCAAATGACCCCAGTAAGGTGGTCATCCAACCTCCTCTTAAAAACCCCCAGGGTGGGAGCCTGCACCACCTCGCTTGGAAGCTGGTTCCAGACTCTAGCCGCCCTGACCGTGAAGTAGCGCCTCCTGATGTCCAACTTAAACCTTCCCTCCGCCAGCTTGTGACCATTGTTCCTAGTCAGTCCTTGCGGCGCTCGGGGGAACAGGGACTCCCCCAGCGCCTGCTGATGCCCCCTAACCAGTTTATAACAGGCCACAAGATCCCCCCTCAGCCTTCTCTTTTGAAGGCTGAACAGGTTCAGGTCCCGCAACCTTTCCTCATAGGACCTACCCTGCTGTCCCTTGATCATACGAGTGGCCCTCCTCTGGACCCTCTCGATGCTGTCCACATCCCTCTTAAAGTGCGGCGCCCAGAACTGGACGCAGTACTCCAGCTGCGGCCTGACCAGTGCCGCATAGAGGGGGAGGATCACCTCCTTGGACCTGCTCGAGATGCATCTGTGGATGCACGACAAGGTGCAGTTGGCCTTCCTAGCCGCCTCCCCACATTGCCGACTCATGTTCATCTGGAGTCGTGTCTGCTTTCTTTAAGAAAGCGTCCAAGAAATTTTGGATAGATGTTATCCAGAGAGGTGGGCGATGCAGCGAACTTGCTTGGTGGCATGGCATGGCATTGCATCAGATCAAGCGTTGTAAAGTCGAAACCAACATCAGAAAGTTGAGACAGGGCGTCCAGTTATAAATGTAAGTGCACAACGTTGTAACTCGAAACCTTGTAAGTCAAGGACTGCCTGTACTAACTTTATAATTTTTTACAGCTGCATAGTCATTTTTCTTCTGTGATAATTTATTTGCATGTGTGGCTGGTCTAAATGTATTGTGCGCTTCACCAGTTTATTGCCTAATATATGCAATGTGTAGTAGGGGCCTCAGTTGCCACATTCTGCTATTGCACTGAGTTGTTCCACAAGAACCTTCCTGCCTCCTTAACTGGAGTTCCAGTGGGATGGGCCTGATTGCCCAGCTAATTGCATCTGGTTAGCCTCAAAGCAGCGATTTTCAACCAGGGTACTGTGGCGCCCTAGGGTGCCTTGAGAACCCTGCAGGGTTAATGCTGCTAGGTGTGCAAATGTAAGTCACAAGATAAACCCAGAGATTTCAAATAGGACTTTACAGTGCAATAATATTCTGCCCTGTGGTGGTCTTTCTGAGTTCTTTGCAGGGGAAACATTGCTCTATTATTTTTTGTGCTGTCAAAAATAAGGGAGGACCAAGAGATGGCGTTTGCCATGGGTTACCTTGATTCTAACAGGAAGTACCTTGAGTTTAGAAAGGTTGAGAACCACTCTCTTAGATTCAAGAGCAACATAATTCAGTGTTGGAACAAATTTTGAGACTGTAGAAAACTTCCTTGCTATGTTATTTTTTACTCCCCTCTCCCCCTGTTTTTCCTATAAGATGCTCATGAATTTGCAATCTCATGCATAGGATGCTGCAGGTACATGCACATAGCTGTTTCGTATAGTTTCAGTAAAACGGATGCAGGGGAAATGCCTTATCCAGACATATTTCATAGATTTCATAGACTGCTACAAATGCCAATTTCTTTTCGTATCACAGTCACAGATGACAACACCTCTGTTAGATACTTGACATGTCTTTTTGACGGCATCTTCTAATTTTAACCATTTCCCCTCCCCCTCGCTCCTTGCTGCCCAAATGTACGGTGGTAATCAAAATCAATGCCAGTCTTCAAAGTCAATTTAATTGTAAATATAGGGGCAAAGTCCCAAATTACTAACCACTACCTCATGAGGATTGAACACTAAAAAGGTTCACAGCAATGGGTTTTTTAAGCCACCATTACTAGCTTGTTAACAGGCACTTCTTTAAAAGAATAACAACGTTCTCATACAGCCTTGAATTTAAGAGCCACTGATGCAGTCATGTTGATTGTCAGGAGGTCAGATTTGGTATTGTCAGTTTATAGCATCTGTCACAACTGGCGTTTTAGAGTTGCCCGTAGGCAGGCTAAGGAATGGATGAGGTTGGAGAGTGAATTACTCCCTACTTTAGCTGCAGCTCTTGTAGGGCCTAGGCCATCCCTGAGACATGCAGCAGGCCTATGCTTGCACCTGCTCTGCTGATAAAGACCAATCTCACAGTTTCAAGGGGCGTTAAAAGAAATTGGCACCTTTCACTAGCACTTAAAAAGCTACTTTCTAACTTTGAAAGGAAAAAAAAGAGCTTCCAATAGCAACACGCTGTAACAATGCTGGATGGACAAGGGTTTTTCCAGCTGCGGTGATGCCGAAAGAGGGAATTTTCTTTCGTATTTTTTTCTGGATGATGTCACAACAACCCTTCAGCTTCCCACTCTGCTTGCAAGGACTATGATCATGTTAAAAAAAACCCAACCTATTCTACAAGTGATGTTGCAACCATAGTCCAGAAATTATGCAAGAGGCAAGGATTTCTTAGGGTGATCTTTTTTATTGGACCACCTATGTGTTTGGCATAAAGATAGATGAGCTTTCAAATTCAAGACACAGAGGCCCTGATCTTGCAAATGCACGCCCAAAGCATGCATCCCAGTTTCTCCCAAGCCTAGCAGTCGGGAAAGCTAGCATGGTTAACGGATGCTGGTTTTTGTAGTCAGTGGCAAACAAGGGAGGAAAGTAGTATGGCATCCAA